ATATCTTCAACCTCGCCTTTTGACAAATTTGCTCTTCTGCTTGCGTGCGAAAAGCTTCCGCTAAGCAGGCAGCAGCTTTCCACTCTAATTGGGCGGCCGGAAAAATGACAGCGCCGCTCGGCGAACTTGAGAGACAAGCAACGATCGCGTCTTTCGCCAATAAAGAGTTTCTGTTTGATCCGCCCGGCCTTCGAAGGCACGTCGGAAGAAAAATCCATCCGCAGATCGTGTCACCGGCTGTCTCATATTTCAGCCCACGATTTTTTTCTCACTCTCTTCCTGTCGTCGAAGTATAAAAATACTTAACGACGTTATTAGTGGTTTGGAGAGACTCCAATTGCGCCTCTCTCTCTCTTTCTCGGTGGTTGTAACGCGCCAGCTTTGCATTTTATCTTTTGGCTTCGGTGGTTTTTGGCTGGAGAAGAATTCGGGAGGGATTTTATAGAGGAGATGGAGGCGCGAGACTATTCTCGGTGCGCGACACAAGCTGCGGTTTAATTCGGGCTCTGCAAATATTATTTCTTGTTCGCGAGTGTGATTTATTGTCGGTCGCCGACTGATTTATTGCCCTGTTGGACATGCAAACTATTAGCGGCTGTCAGAGCACGTGGATCCTTGACGGCTGCAAACAACGTCTATTTTAGTTGCCGCGGAGACAGGCTGCGCGCAGCGTGCGAATATTTGCTTGGGCTGAAAGGAATTCCATTGAGCACCGGAAATGTTAGGAAAAAATGCAGTTCTCTGTGGAATCTTCTCCAATGCAACGTTAAATTAGAGTAAATCTCAGAAATGAATCAAATTAAATATTCAAAATTTAAGTTAATTGGGCACATTAATTTTGTTTTCTTATTTTAGAAATCGTTTCAGTCATTTTCAGTTCATAATTAATTTATAATTATAATTCTAAATTACATTAAAAATATGCAGTTAAAATTAAGAAAACGAATCAATTTAACACATTAGACTGCAAAAGACAGAAGACTTTTCTTCAGCAGTAAATATTATAAAAATAAAAATGTTGAACTTAAAAATAAAATTAAAAGAACCATTCTACACAAAGATCCATTCTTTCTTTTAAAAACAGACATGTATAATCTAAATTATTAACTAAAAAATGATGATTTCCAGAGTGGAAAGTTAAAAGTCCTAACCATTAAAAATTTCCGCAGAATTTGTGCGTGAAATTTGAGCTCTTCGGATTGTGGCCGCGGAAACGGTGCTCATCGGATTACACTCAATCAAGCGCAATTGGACCGCTTTCTCGCATTTTGCGCTGACTGCGGCAGCTTTCTGCCAAAAAACAAATTGTGCTGACGTGTGCCGGCCGTAAAATTTAAACCGTCAGCCGTCGAGAGTGATGATGATGCCTCAACCGCCGCAGCCGCCACTTGCAAGTAACAGTCGCCGCATCTCATCTCCTCCTCCGTAAAAAAAAAGAAAAAAAGCCTAATTTTATACGACGGGCCAGAATGAGAATTGATTGGATGATCTGCCCGTCGCTCGTAAACCACCCAGACCGTATTTTTATTCAAATCGTCTCAATTTCCACCAAAGGCGGCGCCGGGCGTAAAACTGCGATTTTACAGCCCATTTCGCGTAAAATACAGCCGCTGCACGTGTGTGTCTGTTATGCCCGTGGATAAAAAGGAAAAGCGGCTGCAGTCTGGACCCATTTTTCACACCGGCGCGGACGTTTGTATGCAAACAGACTGCGAATTTGCGACTCCTGGAAATGAAAATGGTGCCCGGGAGGGAGAAAAGGATAGACTGGCCCTTGGGTACCAAACACTTTTCTGCAAAATTTTTGCTGCCTACGATTCCATGTAGAAGAAAACGGCTTAAAACATTGGATTTTTACTCATAACTATCATGATTTGTTATTTTTAAAAATTAATTATTATAAAAAAGGGAAAATATGTTACGGTTAATACAAAAAATAGTTCTAAATTTTAAAGCTGTATTTTTTTTCATTCTTGCAGTCATATACTGAGAGAAATATTAATTGTATGGTATTTAGTAATATAATTTAATAACAGTATTGCAGGTGAAGTCAGACTTACAGAATCAATGTTTATTTGTAACTATGAGCATTGCTTAATAAAAGTGGAGGTTATATAATACAATTAATAATTATAACACTCCATCACATCAACTTAAAATGACTTTAAAACATAAAGAACGCGAAATAAAGGTATCAATAATTATTTCTTAAATTAAATAAAAATAAACCTTAAATAAAATAAAATAAATTGATAAATTATTAAAAATACATATTGTAAAAAATAAACGTAACTTTAACATAGAGTGCTTGAGAAATTTCTTTTGTTTCTAACAATTACACATTGATTGTAAAAGGTAAGATAACAAGAATAAATTTTAATTAATTTGAAATAAAAAACTATAAATAGTTTCAATTTGGTTTTATTAATCATTATTTTTTGGCCCCACCCCTGTAGATAATTAATGAAAAAATAAATATACAACTTTTTTTATTTTAAACACATTTTGTGAGCCTGATCAAAATCGGTATACTTTCAAAATTCTATCAATCTCAGTCTAAAATAAACTGGCATGCTCTGTCGATTAGGCTGAACAAACTGGTTGATCTCGTTGTCGAGCGCATTTCAAAATCAACGTGATGGATTACCAGCCGGCGTGTTTCATTCTTCTTCAACTCTCGGGTCGACAGAACGCTACGTGCACCTTTGACACCAACAGCCAGATTTATTTCAGTGAGAAACAGACAGAAAAAAAGTGTATAAATAAAAGCAGGAGACGTCTAATCGAGGTCCCCGAGTGAATAAGTAAATAAATGGTGCGCATCTGGGAGAAGCGAGAAATTCTCTCACAGCATTTTTCTGGCGCGCCGCCCACACCAGCGGATGGCGTGCGCCAGGAAATTGGTACGCTGTCCATTCATTCATTCCGAAAGTGTTTTATTTTTGGGTCCATTCATTCGCATAATGGCGGTTTGATTTCGCATCCAGCCCTACTTTCATTTAATTGACTTGTCAAATTGAACTTTCATCTGGGTGTGAAGCGAATACAAGTTTTTCCCGCTTGTTTTGAAAATGATAATGTGTGGAAAGTATTAACAGTTGTATTTATTGGGAATTAGTAAAAATTATTTGATGTATGATATTGGTGAATTATTAATATTGTTTTAAAACTTTTTTATTTACTGAGCATCAGGAAATTTTTGCTAGAAACTAGAACGATAAACACTTCACAGAAACACCGGGTTTTAAGTGAACTACTTTCTGGTCTCATTCAATAGACACTTCGATGTTGATCCAAAATTATTCGTACAATTTTCATACTCCAAACCGGAAATAGAAAATAATAATTATAGAAAAATTTCATCATTAGAATATTAGAATTCCTTTCTAACGTGTGAATTTCTCGCAATTAACATGCAGGAAAAGGGAACAGTCATTCTACAATGAAATAAAAATATTTATCAATTGTTAAAGAAATAATTATACCATTGTTCGTATCTTGTTAATATTAAATCAACTTAATCAACTCTAAGCGAGTTTCATTATGTATACAGAAAAGTATAATTAAAATAGATTGAATTAAGATTTTTGGACTTTGCGGAACTTTTTTCATCAGTGCTTTAGAAACATTACAAAATAAAAAATAAACTTCTTCAAACTGCCACAAAAATACAATTTATTTTTAACTAAAAAAATTCATGTACTTATATTTCAAAATTGATCAGGATAAAGAACCAAAATCTTATTATATAACTTTTCTTTTCGAAAAAGTTCTTCCAATGGATAATTCCAATAGAAGAATAAATAAATCTTTTGCCTTCTTCTCTTTTTACATATATGAAATATACAATCAGGCAATAACTTTTCCTTTTGCAGCAGGTGACAGACGCAAACCTAGCTGCGATTCATAAAAATATTTTTCGCGCATACACATGTCCGCATTTCAATCGGGCTGCGAGAAGGCAGCATTTTTTCCACGCAAAAGGCGTCTCATCTTCTTTGGAAGCGAAGAGATATTTCACACCTGGCATCAGATCAACGCTCGCGAGCAATGTGTGGTGGTTTGTGGAGAGATGGAGATAGAAACACGCGCGCCGACGGCATCCACCGCACTGCGCCGATGTTGGAATTTATCAAACGGCGTGACACCGCTACTCAAAATAAATACAACCCCTTGACACTCACACGTGAGACTAACTCGGTCGGCGCCATTTATTCCAGTCGGCTATCACGGTAATTAGGCCCATTTGTTACTCTCTCGCTCTTTTATTTCTTTGCCTCCCTCGAGTTATTCTACTCTTTTTCTCTTTAACACAACTTTTGTGTTTTTTATCCGGGTGATAAATAAATTCCGAGGCTTAATCCCCTGCTCTTAACTATGGATAAATTGCGCTGACAACTTTTTGGCTCCTCCGACTGTTGAAAGAAAGAAAGAACGGAGACGTATACACACTCACAAAAAACGACTTTGCTCGCTGTGTTAAATCTAGTTAAAAAGTGATAATTCTCGTCGGCTCACTCAGTTGATGAGAGCTAACTTAGTTTGTATTAATCACGGCTCTTTAGATTACTCTCATTACTTCAAAGAAAATAATAATCTTATTCCCTTTTTGAACTGGAAAAATTTATTCATTTTTGCAAGATAAGCATTATGAAGCGTTATGTATTTTACTGTTATATTATGAATACTATATTTAATAAATCTATCAGAAAACTTTAAATTTGCAAATGTAGGAAACTTTTACTGAGTCTTTTATTATCTCTTGTTAAATAAATCTCAAGGAAAATGAAATTTGGTATTATTAAAAACTTCAAATTTTCGCTCTCATTAAAAATAACTACGACTCCAAATTTTTGCCCAAAAAATATATTAACAACTAATGTATTAGTTCAATGAGACGGAAAAAAATTAAAAAGTTTTCGTAAAGAAGAGAAGGACTATCTTGCTTGAAATTAATTTCTTCCTGAATACATAAAAATTGCGTCATTCGCAAAACTGACCTTGAATTGCAGCACAAACTCCGCAGAAAATGAAGACAAAGCAAACGACTCGCGGCAGGAACTTCTCCATTCTCCGGTAAAAACGCTTTGGTCCTAATCAAAATAACAGCAACAGTTCTCTCTTCTTTGTGAAATTACACAGAAATTCAGCAGCTGCAGTTGTTTATCTTAGGTGAATTCGCGCACTTGGCACTCGGCAGAGGCAGGCATAGCGGGCGGTGGACCGGAGGACTGGCAGAAGGCGACTGTGCCGCTGCTCGTCCCGTCAGATTTGCCATCCTTGGGTCTGCCTCGAGGGTGGGTGGCAGCCGGAGGGAGCGAGAGGGGTGCGCAGCCGCCCTCGCAGACAGCGTGGCTCCCCAATTTATCTCGCGCTGGCTGTTGCTTTGCTCGTTTTTCTTTGCGTGTGTGTTTCTTGGACCGTTTGTAAACTCCAAGTAAGTAACACTTTAATAGAATACGGGTGATTATTTGCTTTATTACCTCTGCTTATTTGTTATACTAGCCTGTCTCAGATGTACAACGACCCCAGTTGTTTGCTTAAAAAGTCACAAAACTTATTTTGTGAATAGGTATTAAAATCTTCCCAAGTTACGTCAATTTTGAAGTTCAATAATATATTTAAAATTATTTGAAATCATTGTCATTGAGATATAATATTGGTTTTATTATAAAAAATCTTTTGTCTATGAATAAGATCGCGTAATAAATTAGAGCAAAATTAGTTGTTAACATTTAAAAAAATTAAATTGAAACTACTATCCTGCTTGAGTTGCATAATTGCTTTATGGAAAATGATTCATTTTCTCATCAAAAATATTTATTTAGTTGAACTAAAAACCATAATATTCATTTTTGTTAAAATATTCCGATTTTACAAAGCCTTTTATTGATTTTCGTTTGATTTTCTTACTTTAAATTCCTCATTTTGTGTAAATAAATATAAGTTTTAAGCGTTTTAAACAGTAATTAAGATGGATTTAAAAATTTTATTGTGTAGCATCAACACATTTTTGCTAAATGTATAATTACAAATCTATATAGAAGGAGCAATATTTCGTCGTTACTAAGCCCAGCTAAGCCTACCTTTTCTTTTCTCCGTCAACACAAAAATTGTGCCACTTTTTTATAATAATTTATATCTTTAATCATTAAGCAATGGTTTAACCTGAAAATGAATCTTTTAACTTATAAATTGTTTTCCTGAAGAGAAATCTTCGGTAAGAGTCACCAATGTGACTGAATCCGTTTCAAGGCATTTTCCAGCAATTAATCTCTGAGCCGAGCTAGAAAGAAAGAACTGCGCTGTGGAATCACGTAATCCACACTAATTTTGACTGAACCGGGCCTCCTCCTTCCCGAATTGCAGCCTCAAACTTTTTCGCCGGCAGTTGCCGGGATGAGGAAAAGTAGAAGAAGAAGAAGTGTGTGTTCGGTGGAGAGCAGAGTGTGCTCTCGGCCTCTTTTCTCTCGGTCACAGCGAATTTTTTGCTCCTCATTCAGCTAAACCCGGCTATTACGACTCCGTCCATGATATGCGGCCGCCGAAATTAGGAAGTTTTAAAAGATGTGGTGCTGCAGACAAAGTCGGAAGCGTATCATAATATGAAAAAAGTTTCCATACCACTATTCCTTGTGGTTGGTTTGTCACACTGGCATGAAGGATGGGTCTGGCAAAGGCCCTTTTCTCTCTACGCCGGAATATTACGCCCAAATGATCACAGCCCGCCGAGCTAGCTCCGACAATGTTTCATTAGCTCTCCCGCCGGCGACCTTAATAAGCGCGTTTCGCAGATAAATTAACGGCCGCACAGCCCATTGAGATTGAATCTGCCCCTGCGGAAGGAAGCGAAAAAGCCGCACAAGCCCGCTCTCGGAACTCGTCCAAGCTGTCAAGGCTTTGGAAACTTCAAAAGTTTTTTTTTTTAATGGCCTTTGAAAGAGAAATTGCTTTAAAGAGAGGGGGAAATCCAAATGCTGATTGCAAGTAAAATTGCACTGCACTTCATAACTTTGCAAATAATCAGAGTAAAACTCTCTTTAAAAAACTATATAATAAGATGTAGGTACCAAATGATTATTATAAAAAAATAAATTACTTTGTAATTGAATATTTAAAGGCTTGCTGTGAAACATGGGATGATCCCTCTGATGTTCTAGCAACATAAAATTGATGCCGTTTGTATGTTCAACAATTCCGTTTCACGCTCAACCAATGATGGGTTTCCAATTATGTATTATATTATTTAACAAAAATAAACAAATAGATAATAAAATAATTAAAATTTTAACTTCACAAAGCACAATGTATGGCTCCGGCGAAAGTTAGACCCAACTTTTTTTATTTTTACATACAGATAATTAAAAAAAAACATTATTGACTTATTTTCAGGTCAATTTTAATTGCGTTAAATTTCTTATAATTTACTTTGAATTATTTTAATATTATCGAGGCGGTCGCGGCGTTCGGGGCGGACGCGGCGGTCGCGGCGTTCGGGGCGGACGCGGCGGTCGCGGCGGTCGCGGCGGTCGCGGCGGTCGCGGCGGACGCGGCGGTCGCGGCGTTCGGGGCGGACGCGGCGGTCGCGGCGTTCGGGGCGGACGCGGCGGACGCGGCGGTCGCGGCGGTCGCGGCGGTCGCGGCGGTCGCGGCGGTCGCGGCGGTCGCGGCGGTCGCGGCGGTCGCGGCGGTCGCGGCGGTCGCGGCGGTCGCGGCGGTCGCGGCGGACGCGGCGGTCGCGGCGTTCGGGGCGGACGCGGCGGACGCGGCGGTCGCGGCGGTCGCGGCGGTCGCGGCGGACGCGGCGGTCGCGGCGTTCGGGGCGGACGCGGCGGACGCGGCGGTCGCGGCGGTCGCGGCGGTCGCGGCGGTCGCGGCGGTCGCGGCGGTCGCGGCGGTCGCGGCGGTCGCGGCGGTCGCGGCGGTCGCGGCGGTCGCGGCGGTCGCGGCGGTCGCGGCGGTCGCGGCGGTCGCGGCGGTCGCGGCGGTCGCGGCGGTCGCGGCGGTCGCGGCGGTCGCGGCGGTCGCGGCGGTCGCGGCGGTCGCGGCGGTCGCGGCGGTCGCGGCGGTCGCGGCGGTCGCGGCGGTCGCGGCGGTCGCGGCGGTCGCGGCGGTCGCGGCGGTCGCGGCGGTCGCGGCGGTCGCGGCGGTCGCGGCGGTCGCGGCGGTCGCGGCGGTCGCGGCGGTCGCGGCGGTCGCGGCGGTCGCGGCGGTCGCGGCGGTCGCGGCGGTCGCGGCGGTCGCGGCGGTCGCGGCGGTCGCGGCGGTCGCGGCGGTCGCGGCGGTCGCGGCGGTCGCGGCGGTCGCGGCGGTCGCGGCGGTCGCGGCGGTCGCGGCGGTCGCGGCGGTCGCGGCGGTCGCGGCGGTCGCGGCGGTCGCGGCGGTCGCGGCGGTCGCGGCGGTCGCGGCGGTCGCGGCGGTCGCGGCGGTCGCGGCGGTCGAGTCGGGCGAGATGAGCGAGATTCGCATATGAGTTAAATGAGCCGCACGAGTTAATCGAGCCGCAGCAGGCAACATTTTGGTACCTGGAGTTTTGTTCTAGCATCATTACAAGTAACGATCATAGATTTTGTGCAGCAAAAGTTGGAATCCTATGAAGAAATTATTTAAAAATAGCTGTAACTTCACATCTATTGATGCTAGAAGAAAACACCGGGTACCAAAATGTTCCTGCTGACATCCTCTTTCCATCCATGTTTCACAAACGTAAAAAAAATTCAGAAAGGTCACATGTAACCAAGGGGTCAATGCCCTTTTGTTCCACCTCTTGTTGTTATCGAAGTTTTTATATCTGAATCAATATTTATCAAATTATTTCCGCAGTTTCCGCACTTCATCTCCAAAACCTTAAGATTCAAAGAATCAGCTTCCTTTTTGTTCTTATTTCCGTGCCAATTCACTTCCTCCTGCAAACACAAGCTAAATTTCCCTGCGCGAAGAAAGCAAGCAATGCGAGTTTGCCACGAGTTGAAAGTAAGAATAACAATGGGGAGGCTGAAAGGACCGGGGAGAGAATGAAGTTCGTCTTGAATGGCACTTCATAAAGCTACTCTTCTCATCTGCGTAGCTCTGTTCCTCCTCTCGCATTGCGCAAAATACACATACGTACACGTACTGAGATCTCTAATGCAGCAGCGCATGAAGACTTACTCGCTTTCCTCGAATGAAAGCAGAAACTCCCACTCGCAGTTTTTCACAGTTGAATAAACTCATGGTCTTAGAAATTTGCATTTGGAATTCTTGGAAGTTTCCTCTCCAAATCAAGGCAATTGTGACTTACAAATTTGATCCGGCTCTCTGATTTGAAGTGATTTTATAATCAAGATTTTATAATAATGTTTAATGGTTTATGCTACCAGAGTTCTGATTGTGAGAACCATAAAAATCCTTCCATTGCAAATTAATTCATTAATTAATATCCCAAAATATTCAGTTTTGCTACATTGAACATCAAACCGCAGACAGATCAATTATGGCATCATATTATATTTATATAATACAATTTCGCTCAAAGGCGACCTGGAATTTTGGGTGAGTTTGATCAGGATATTATTTGATATTTGAATACATTATAATTAAAGCATCTAAACAAAGCAATTCCTTGAACATCATGTTAAATTTGTGGCTTGCTAAATTCATATTTGACAATGTTGACAATTCTCGCGGCAAAGCAAATCGAAAATTGAGCAATCTGTTCATAGTATTGAAACAAATAATAGATAATGCATGAACAAATATTCCCATTCAAATCAAAATTGAAAACTCCATTCGAAGCTTTTTTTAAGAATTGAGAATTTTATATAGAACAACAAAATTAAAAATTTTGATAAAGATGATTTTTCGTTGTCTATGATCCTCATTTAAATTGATAATTTCGTGACTCCATATAAAAGATAAATATGTGAACAAAGGCATGCATAATTAATAGAACAAAATGTCACACACGGATCAAAGCGGACTGTGCCGAGCAAAATAATTAATTATTAAAAGTGGCGGGCAGTGTTGCTGGTAATGAATTTGCGACCGAATATTAATGCGAATCGCAAAGGGCCACTCGCGGTGCGAATTCACAAAACACACGTGCAGCGAAAATTCAAAGCGGTGAGTGAGTGAGAGGCCCGAAATTAAATTCAGCTGCGATGACGCTAATTCCGCCAGCAGGCATTTTCCAACAAATAATCATCACCAGAAAAGGCAGCCGCAGTCAGGCCGAGGGCGGAGAAAAATTCC